GGGCACACCGCTGTCTGCAAGGGAGCTTGCTCCCAGCCACGCTCTCCGACATGCAGGACAGTCCCCCACGGGTTTTCCTCGTGCACCCGAAGGGACAGCAGTGCCCTTTGGATAAGGCTTATTTCTGAAGACCTTGAACTCAGCACCGGGGGAAAGCAAGCACACTGCACGGGCACCAGGGCCTCAAGTCCCACCCCTTGAATGGCGAGAGTGCGGCGACACCGGCTCAGCACAGGACCGGGAGCTCCAGGCTCTGCCACTGCCCACAGAGGCTCTGGTGCACAGAAAGAGGCTGCACAAAAAGAGGCCCAGGCAGCAGCACGTCCCTTCCCTCACAGGGAGCGACCCCTGCCACCACGGAGCGCTGCCGTCCCGGGGGCAGGAGGAGTGCTGTGCTCGCACCCTCAGAACACGGGAGCGTGGACCCAGCCTGGAAGTACCAATGAGAGCCCGGGAGAAAGGAACCATCCCACTGGAAATCCCTTCCAGGAGGAGATGCTGATTTGCTGCCAGTTTCCCGACGAACACTCACAGCTCCTGCTCTTGAGGTGTCCCTGCCAGCCCTCAGCTGCGAGCTGGGCTGGAGGTGCAGAGCAAGGCAGCCCCAACCCTGGGGCAGCGGGGCTCTCCTCCCTCCACAGCAGCACCCACCCACTCCAAGAGGTCCCACTCCTTCTCCTGCAAGGCTCCTCCACAGCAGAGACCAGAGCCTGGCCAGTTGTCCACCCACTTTGCCCAAAGAGTCCTCACCTTCAACCTTCATTATCTGATAGGTGTCCTGCACCACCTTGTACTTGGGCTCGTTGCGGAAGGCGTGAGCCCAGGCCTGGATAAGATACAGGATCTTACTGCGGACACTTGTCTCCACTTGCCTCTGCACAAAAAGGGAGGAGGAAAACACCTCAATATCTGAGAAAAAGACCCTGCAACCCAAAGGATGGTGAATCTCCCAGAAGAGAAGCCAGAAACACCATTTGGGGAAGGAGAGACTTTAGAGGACTTGTGCAAGGTAAGAGCTGTCAGAAAGCTGCCCTCAGGACAATTCACAGCAGGACTACCCCACTCCCTGCTCCAGCACAAACAAGAAAACATCCTTCAGAGCAGCAGGGACCGACTCGAAAAGGGGTGCGGTTACGATGCTTCGGGAAAACGCCCACAGAGACTGGCAGACACTCCCGGGGCAGGCACGAGCACTGCCCTGCCCAACACCTTCATTCACTGCCTCACAAGAGCTGCTGGTCCTGTACCCAGAAAATTGCGGGACGTGCAGCTCCGCAGGCGGGCAGAGCAGCACAGCCCAGGGGGCCTCACCTGAGCGCTGACGGGCACCTTGAGCTCGCAGCAGGAGCCTGCCGGGGCCAGGCTGTCAGCACCGCCCTGCCCCGAGACTCCTGCCCAGGAATACCTAAAGCCACCGCAGGACGTGACATGGACAGGACAGCTGGGAAGCTTGCCCTTTGGAGGCAGGGGTGGTTGCATCACAGTTCGAGGAACCGGAGGAAACTTGGCGAGCCTGTTCCTACCCCCGCCAGCCTCCAGGAACAGCCCTGCCTCAGCTGACTGACCGAGTCATGGTGCATTCACATGACCAGCTGCTCCAGAAACCCCCCAGGAAGTGGAGGAGCATTGTCAAGCTCCGATTTCAGCCGAGAGCTCAGCCCACACAGCGTGACTTCCCGACAATCCCTGGAGCTCCAAACTCCTACAAGATATGGCAAAATCCTGCATTCCACGTGTGTCACAGCCCTGAACCTCGTCAGAACTAAGACCATTTTACCAGCGCTGAGCATTCACAAACACTGACGTTCCAAGTGTACGAGGAGAACAAGTCTGGGGCAGTTATGAAACTACCAATGCAGACAAGGACTGGAGAGAACCACAAAATCTCTTGACCTGATCGATCTCCTCAGCACCACCACACCCAGCTGCCACATTGCGACAGCGCTGCTGTCTGCGCAGGAGATCCTGCACTGACGCTGAGTCAGCCCTGGCAGGGAGGTGACAGGAGGGAGACACCCTGCTATGGTGTGTGCACAGCGCATTCCCCACATATCTGGGTCATCTGGCCACCTATTTCTGGCGGAAGCTGGAGGCTGTGACGAGGGAACATCAGCGCTCCAACAGACAACCTGGGCGTTGCTGTTCTGGGGCTGGGAGCTGGCGACAGAAGTTCCCATTTCTGCCTCACCTGTGGAGTCTCGTCTGAGGACACACGGGGCTCCTGCAGGCACCACACGAGAACAAACTGGCACGTGACAGCTTGTGACAACAGCCCGTCAGTGAAACAGCCCTGCACAACCCCTCAGACAGCTGCACGGGCCAGTGAAATGGCCACAATAAAGAGGAAGCTTCTACCCGCTTTTAACTTTCCTGCGTGTCTCGTGCTGCACTACGGGAGGGAATTCACCTCAGGTCCCCGGTGCAACCGCCGCACCATCGCCCCTCCTCTCCCTTGCTGCCCCAAGCCAAGCCAAGAGGGACGCCCAGCAGCAGTTACCATGGAAGGGTCTTGGTGTCTGCAGCACAGTCCTGCACCACCTCACAGCACCGCCAAGGGCTGCTTTGCTCTCACGACATCTCCTCTCCCCAGCAGCACTCCTCACCTCACCCCTTCACGCCGCACAACGCCCTCTGCTTGTTTCTGAAAGGCATTTCTGAGCAGTGTCCCTTCCGTTCCTTGTGCAAAGGGAATGAAAGTGAGGACGTGCACACATCCTCCTTCTGCAGCTTCTTTCCAGCCTTATTCAAAACCGACTGTAAAATAAAGTTTATTTACCTTGAGTATTTCCTTCAGTTCCTCCATAGTCTGTTTATTGGCCACCTCGTCATGGACTGTTTGGCCACAGTTTTTGACCACTGACTCCATGACCTGCAAGGGCAAAGGACAATATCAGTCCCTCGTTTTCTCCCTTCCCCACGAGGCACAGCACACATCACAGGTTACTGCCACCAGCACGCCAAGACGGGGACGCTACTGCAGCGACGTGCCGGGGCAGGGTCAGCGCAGCCAGGGGAATCCACGGCACCACAGCAGCGGCACGGTGGCCTCTGTCCCCCTGCTGAATGGAGACAGAGCTCCCGGGACAGTGCCCTAACTTCCAGCTTTGTCTGTGCCTAACTCTGCGGCAGGACTAAACAAGGAAAACCACAGCCTGCTGATCGTGGAGCCTCGGTGCTAGAGCCAGCAGGAGGCAAACCCCAAACCGCGACCACGAGGCTCCATGGGCAGGGGACGCCGGGGAGCCCAGAAGGCAGGTTGGCAGAAGTTGGGACGTTGCCTGGCCCGTGAGCCTGGTCCCCGCGGTGCCTGGTTCGGGCTGACGTTACCTCCAGCGCGTAGAGCGCCACGTGCGGGTTCTTGTCGTTGACTTTCTTCTTGATAGCGTTGACGGCATATTTCGCTCTAGGTGAGGAAAGACAGTACATATTCTCAGGTCACCAAGAATCCCAGAGAAGATCCCACCTGCTGCTGCTGCTAACCCCCACCCTAGCACAAGGGTACAGGTAGAAGTTGTCTAAGAAGCTACATCAGGTCAGCCAAGGGAACCCAGCTCCCCACCTGAACCTCTGCTCTGAACCTGTTGTGGCCGAGGGGCTGCATGTCAGGGTCTGCAGGGAGAGCACTCCGGAGCTGGGGTGGGGTGAGAACGCTTGCTTGTGTC